TCAAAGCCAGCAGCGACACTGCCCCCGCGCCGCCTCAAGCCCGGCGGGTACCTGCACAGGCTTCCGCATCCTCCAGTTCCGTTGCCAAAACCACCAAGTAACTCCAACAGTGGTTGATGCAGTGCGGCGTCCCAAGAGTCGGTTTTACGACACTATTCTGGATTGTGTGCGCAGCGTACCACTCTCTGTAACATTACCAAAACAAATAAATCGTAGAAAACAAATGTACTACTCCTTGCACTTTTGTGACAGCACGCAAATCCTCTACCTCTATTTGGATCGCCGATAGCCGATAATACTAACAGTATCAACCGTTCGCTTGTCCCTATAAAGCATTCCGGTAAAGCTGAAATGCAGAAGAATGCAGGGAACAAGAAAACGGAAGTCCCATGTAAAAGCATAGTAATTTCCGTTCTCTTATTTCTCTCATCCTTCTTCATTTTAGCTTTAACAGGATGCTTTATTGGCTGAGCGATTAGCGAAGCCCATTACTTCACTGACCGGAACAGTTTCATTCTGTTTGTTTGTCTGTCCGCACGATAACTCGAGCAAGAATAGGGTGTTCCAGGCTATCTAAAACGGAAGTGAAAAAGAACAAACTCACTGATTTATCTGTTCCCGTCTGCCCAGTATGAGAAACTACCGTGGTAGTTTGGTCCGAACCTGCCTTGGCCAGACAAAATGTTGGCCAGAAAACATATCAAAAGATGGCGGGACACTTTTTCGGAAAGTCTTGGCCACTTACGCCCTGGGCCGACTGGAGGGCGGGACATTTTTATCCTTGCTTGAACAAAATCCCATATTTTCCCGAGGTGTTCCCAGACGGCCTGGCTACCATCCAGCGTGGTCGCCGGATTTTGTTCCACCAAGGTTACGAAGCTGCAGCCCTCTGAAAACTTTCAACAGGAACCCTCATATGAAAAATTTCAGTTATGCTTCTTCCACATAAGAGCTCCATGCTAATCTTTGAGGCCGCTGTGAAGATTTAATCCGTTCGATATAATATTTTACAGCGTTAGTAGTGTTACAAGATAGAACATTTATCCACCAGAGCCGACATCAGATTCGAAAATGCACACTTCCGAGTGTAGAAGAAGTTATTTGAGCATTAAAACATGTGTAATTTTGAAATGAACACTCGCACGTCTGTAACTTGGAGTTGCACACTTGCTGTGTTGGTTTGTTTTAAAAATGTTATATCAAATTTTAAGGTTTAAATACTTTTCTAAATAACAATAACAGATGACGCCGCGCCGATAGGCATGCCATCATTAACCATGTTCAAATATTCTCACTTGCGCGGAAACACCCGATCGGATCGTCGGGAACGCACTGTCAAGAATAACCACGGAAAAAGCCACAGAAAATGTCTGGTCAATTGATTACCCGGAAGTTCTGTAGTCAACCGTACTGGACTACGGATAGATAACAGAATTCCGTATCAGTTCTGTTAAGACCTACGGTTAAACTACGGATAGTCTGTACACGGTAAAATTCCATCATTTTAACTGAAAAACTACAGAAAAATTCCATTCTTTGAGCACACAACCACGGAAGTTCCTGAACCATGAACCTATCCGTGGTTCCTTGAAAGAGCACAAAATAGTTTTGTGCTCCATCAGGTAATCACGGAATTTAACCTTTGACGTAGTAAACAGGAACATGGTGCAAAGCTAGTCAATAGCTTAATTCTCTTTCGTCACTAAACTTACGATATGAAGGGACAAGCACCGAAGCATTACGCCATGCAGGGGAGAGCGATGTTCAACATTACTGAATCCGCCATTAAGTTTGATGAGGGAAGAGATCAGAGATTATGATGCTGGCATACCAAAAGCAGGAGCCAAGAAAGCTGAGACGACGCTGAAAGTTGATTTCTTCAAGGTAAGTTCAAATAAGAAAATGAATTTGAAAGAGTCTATTTTTTTAATAAACATCTTTCCTACAACCAGCAAGATTTCCAAACCAACCTGTCAAATATATAAAAAAGTGAGTTACCACCATTTTTATGTAAAAAAAAAAATAGACAATATCCAGCAATATTTACCTTCAGCTGAGAACATTTTTTAGAAGGGACACAAGAACTGTTTACATTCCTTGAATCGCAGTGATTACTTCAAAATAAGTGCAAGGGTATAAATCAACTTAAATTATGTATACAAAGAACCTGTAAAGAGTGAAAGAGGGGTAATTACTTAACTGAGACATTTGAAAAATCAAAAGAAGTAGATACAAATAAAAACTTGCCTTAACATAAAATGGTAGTGAGTAATGAATCTTTTATGTACTTTCCACACTCAGAGACAAGAAAAAAGATCATGGAAAAGCATAGGACCAAGCAAAGGACCCTCCAAGTTCAGCTTCAAACCATCAGGACCGTAGGAGATTTGGAAAGGATCCCATCTAGTCGACTTCCTTGTAAAAACTGCTTGACTATACTGTGGTTACATTTTATAGATTCTGCTGGGTGCTCCTTGAGTAGACTTGAGTGTGTTGGTTTTAATGATGTTCTAGCTGATAATATAAAAATGAATATAGTCAGTTACTCTGCCATTTTTGACTTAGATAGATAGTGAAATCTAACAAAGAAAGACAACATACTTGCATTAATTACGTAAAAGTAGGGTGAAGCCAGTAAATCCTCAGGCAAACAATTTCTTGGTGTCTTCTATTAGATTCATAAAATGTGTCAATCTGTAATTGAAAAGAAAACAGACATTGTTGCAGTTCTGTAAAAATTTATAAGAGGTAAGATGTCTGATTAAGGCAAGATGCGAGACAAAGAAATCAGAAATTTTTACCTGTAATGTTGCATGTGTAAAAGAAATTTTAACTCCAAGGTTTAGAAGAATAGATATATACATAAACTGCTCCTTAGTACTCCAGTTAGTGTGAAAACAGCCTGGACTGGAACTCATTCCGACATTATCAAAAAAAAACTTGCAAGAATGACGCAAATGGCAGTCTCAGATCTCTGTAAGAAAGATAAACACAACGCTGTTTCATAAAAAGTTCAAGCTCGAATTTTTTTTAAATGTGATAAGCTTACCATCAGCAACTAAAACGCACAGCTTCAAATAATTATCTAAAGCAGTGGGTGAAATGATCTCAATGCGTTATTGCAGCCTCCCTGATAATGTGGTATTAAAACGACTGCTACATTGAAAAAATTTTGCCTCTCCTTGATATGTCAATACTTTATGTAAGGACCTGTATGAACAGCCGGAGACACAAGATTAGACCAGACATGATGAAAAACATAAATACAGCAATAACTCAAAAAATCAAATTAAAGCATACAAAAAAACAACTCTTAAACATCTACAACAATTCTCTAAAGAGAACAAAGTATTTAATAAACAATTACTAGTAGAAAAACTATAATAGATTATGAAATACTATGTTTAA